ATATATATATATATATATATATATATATATACTTATCTGCGAACACGTATTTGTGATTTGTGACGTTTCAAGGATAATAGCAGTTATATAAACGCATTTATGCAAATAATACGTTTTGTACGTATATACTTGTGTGTAAAAAGAGGCCAATATATGTACGATTAAATACATTACTTTAGATACGAAGTGCCACTCCGGTCTAAATGTTACGATGTTGAATTACTATATATATATACTCATTTAAATGAATTAATTTCAAAAATGATAATTGCGTGTCGATATGGTTGTCGGACTTTCAACGCAATCAATCTGAAATATTAATAATCCTCCCAAATTTCCTAAATCTTAAAAAACTGTAATAAACTTATTGCGAAAAATATTGCCTCGGCCGGGAGTCGAACCCGGATCTCTTACATTCCGTGTGAGCATCCTAAATCTTTAAACTAACGTAACCTTAGCAACATTCTTCACAATAACTAATATGTATAGAGCGTTACGCATTGTAGGCGAGCGTGTATAAACAACATGATTGAAAACAAGACCGGTTATGTTAAATGCAAAAAAAAATTACTTTAGATATGAAGCGCCACTTCAGTCTGAATGTTAATGTACGATTAAATTATTAGTGAGTGCGTGCGTGGTTATTTAGAATTATTTAAATAATTTAAATTATCGGAAATTCTTGTACATATGAATAAACTCTGTTCAAACTTAATTGTTTCCGTCTTCCGCAATATAAGATAATCGATGCGGCATAATCACCGCGAATAATAAAGTCGATAAACGCGCGAGTGAAATATTGGGTCTCGTAGATTCGTGTCGTGAATCTCCTATGATGTTTTCTACAGTCGTCGAGCTTTCTTGAATCTCAGCGCTTTTGTTGATCATGAAACTAGACAGCACAAAATATTGAAAGATAACGCAAAGATATCTTTTTGAAGCTGTCTTTTTGCCAAAACCAAAAAATGCAGTACGTCTAAGTCTAAAATACGAGTATAGCAAAAAGATATCGTTTTAGGTATTCTTTTTGGTAAGACGAAAAGATAATAAAAATCTATAAGATGACGTCTTTTAGTTTTGTCGAAAAGATAACTTAAAAAAGACATCTTTTTGTTGTTCTATTTCTTTCTATGCCGGTTGTCGTTTCGGCAAAATGCGGAAAGTCGACTAAAAGATATTTAATTTCGTATTATCGAAAAGAAAATAAAAAGATAACTCTAAAGAAGATACCTCTTTTCTTTATTTTATATATGCTTTTCATCACTCACTCGCGAGCAGTAAGCGAGATCGCCACCAGATAGACGCGATGGAATTTATTTCTCGTGTTTGAAAACCACACAAGATGGAGTAAAAGGTGTAGGATTATGAGAAATTTTACCAGTATTTTAATGAACTGATAAAATCTTTTTTGAAAGCGAGTCCCCAAAAGGGACTATGATGAAAGGTAATATACGACTCTTGCACACAGCGACATGGCAAACATTGCAGATTTCATTTAGTATGTAAAAATTAATCAGGGACCTGATGTTATTAATCTAATGTTATAAAAACATACAAGTCTTAAGGATGATTAAAAGATATCCTCAGAAGTCGTTCTTTAGTTATCATATAGATAAGTTATCTATAAAGATAACTAACGATGCGATGTACGTCTGCTTCACTAAAAGATATATCTTTATAACAATTTAGTCATCTTTTAGTCGACTTTGCTGTGCTCTGAACTATAATTCGATCTCTATAATGCGCCATGATGATCCAAGGAGTCAGTCGGAAATTTCCGTTTTCATTTTGAATCCCTGGCCTTATTTTCTTATACAATTTCATAGTTTGGTCTCTGACGCCACCGCTTTGACGATCGTACGCGCATCGTGACAATCGCTTCTTTGATTACTGCCTAAAGAGCCGCCCGACCCTGTACTCAATTGTCAAATGATGTTTAACGATTGTACGGAACACAGAGCGGTATATACGTCCCGAGTACCCTCGTACACACTTGTACTAACTTAAATTTTCGAATTTTTATTTATGACTTACGTGCAGAAAAACATGTGTATTTGAGCTCGATCGCACTATCGTAAAGTTAATTGATTTACATCGTATCGCAAAGATTGTGCTATGTTGTAGCTATATAACTTATAATAGTGCATCTATGTAAACAATAATTGTTTTAATTCGAAAAGCGAAGTCTCTCTCTCTCGTACGTAAAGTACGAGATGTAAACGTATATACATAACCCACATAATGTATGAAAGTAACAACAGAATTGCTCGTTTGTTTTCTGCAAGTTGTAAAAAAGAATTCTTTTTCAAACGTTATCACAAGAGTCGTCTCAAGTGAAGCTGATGAAGATTTAGTTGTTTCCAACAGAGCGCGTTATCGAATTTTTGCGTCAGGTTTGATGTAGATATCGTATTAGACTGATAAAATTATAGTTCATTTAATCATCGCGCATACGAATTATTGCGCAAACATATATACATATATATTTTTCACATGCGCGTTTTTCTTACTTTTGTTTTTTGTTTCTCAAAAAGGACCTTCCTGATCTCTCCCCTTTTCTCTGAATCGTTTCTCCAATATTATGTGCATAAAATTTGTCGATTGAAAATGTGGAAATGATAAGGAGAAAGCAAACAAACGAGCATACAGCCGAGTGCAGTCGAGAGCTCTTGCAACTTTATAAACAGAAAAATTACACGACTGTCTTCATTGTGTTGGTTTTCCCCGGAAGTTTACGAAACGTGTTCTTACCGATTATCATGCATTGAAAATAGAGATACGCAGGCGCTGCGATTGCATACGGACGTAAACTAACGTTACTTATCTACGTAAAAAACGTTATCAGGTTTTTCGATCATAATTGACATAATTTATTGATTGTATTGCGATATGAGTAGTGATTTTATCTGCGAAATTTGATGTGATCGTTTCTCCTCGAGTCAGGATTTTCCAATGACGAGTTACGTATAGCATCATTGTTAAATATAGCAATGAAAGAAAAATGTAATCTGTTTTCAAATATTATTTATAAATCAGCAGAAAGGGAGAGAGAGAGAGAGAAAGAGAGAGAGAGAGAGAGAGGGAGAATTATTAAAATTTGATACAGTTATTTCTAAACGATGTCTTAAACAAACATAAGCAACACTATATTATACAGATTCAGCTTCATTATTAACAAGTAGCTACCATTTGTACTATTAATTCATTGAGATTACTTATTTATTCTTTGATCTTATTGATATCTAATTTAAATTTAAATGTGTGTGCGTGCGTGCGTGCGTGCGTGTGTGTGTATATGTGTGTGTGCATAACTTTATATATATAATAGCTTTTCGTACGATATAACATATATTTTTTAAGAAATATCAATGTCACAGCATTTAATATAATTTTTAATAAATAACAATTTTTTAACTGAATTATTTTTAACCCTCGGTTAATATATATGGGAGTATGGTATATCCAGAATATTTGAAAATTGCGCAGCATTTGAAGAAAAAAATTAAGTAGTTAACGTATATTTTTTTCTAGCGTCGTCAGTTGTGTGTGAAAAAGTGGTAGCAATCGTGCTTTTTCTATAAAAAAGAAATCATGCAATTTCATTTCTCAAAATAAATGCATGTACTTGTACGAGAATTAATACTTTGACACACACATGCTTTTAATTTAATTAAAATATACACCTTCAACAGTTCATTTCTTTAGCTTCTTTATTTTTATCTTTATATTAAGTACGATTGTAATAATTTTTTGAAAAAAAGCATTTTTCGTGATAGTTTGAAAAATTGACTTTTGTTCAATAAATATTTTTTGTAATTTACAATTTTTTAGTTGCAATTCTGCTCTTATTTAGATCCTTCACAAAATGAAGATTTTACTTTAACACATTTACTTTAATCAGTGGATTTTATCGAAAATTGGAGACACTTGACATTGACGGGGTGTGCTGTACCCCCGTGTGGTAAGGACGGAAGTAAAAATACATGCGGTAATTGCGAGGGTTAAAAACTTTTTATACATCTTAGAATGTTATAGCTAGTTCAATTGATTATTTTTTTAATACATATTTAGATATAAATATACCTACATCATGTCAGACAATTAATCATACGGATTCAATATGGATTAATTAATTTGAGTTTTTTTTTTCAAAATCGATATTATACGTGTTATGGTCACGAATAATTTCAGATAAGTTTATGGAGCAAACATTCGAGAATTAATATTATTTTTAATATTTTCCGTATGACATTTTCGGCATGGTAATGGATCTTGTGACCCTGACGAAGCTCGCTGGGACGAATCAAGAGTTTCACGAAGGTGAGATGTTGTAACCCAAGCTTGATTGATACACAAAAAAGCGTCGATTAGCGACGATTTTGGCTAAAGCGTCAATGGCTAAATGAATACACGTCAATGGATAAGTGAATACGAGGCCGGAAACATTGCTCAGAAAAAAATAACATCAAGGTAACTAAAAATTATGCTATTGTAATTGAAATGTTTTTATCTATCGGATTAAAATCAACAAGATTATCTTGAAATTTAACCATTGCATTTTTTTATTGGTTGATTACATTTGACTATTGGCGATTTAATTCCAAATGTTTCTTTCTAAAAAAATATTTGTTTTACTTTTGTCATGAGTGTCTAAATATTTTTATTGTTTCTTCCAGATTTTTCTAGCCGCTTTTAATAGCAATAAAACATTTTGCATATCATATGTGTATTACTTTAAGCTTATTATGGATGTTTACATGGATGTTTTTTCTACAATTTGTACTGTAGCAATGAAATTAAGGAAAAGAATATCGCGTAACAAGTTTCTCTCTTCATTGAAATACCTATATACTCAAGGAATGACGACACTTTCTCAACCCTTTTACAATGGAATATCTAAAATCAAAAATGGACGGAGAAAAATTGAGCACATTGGAAGATGAGAAAGAGATAAGTGATCGTGTATGGATGCGACGCGGTGATTCGGTCAGTCAATTCGAAGATCACGCTATACCGAATATAGTCTTGGAATATTATCACGCGGGAACGCGCGTGGCTGTCATCGGCTGCCACCGATCGTTCTAATCGGTGATAGCACCGCAATACACGATGAAACGAGGCGATTATAACGCATATGCATCGTAGGTGGGGGAGCGTAGGAGAGAACGAGGGAGGAAAGGAGAGCATACCGCGGGTACTATCCTCCGTACTATACGCCGGTGGTCCGTACTCCGTCGCGTGAGCGACAACGCTTCAACGTTGTTCGCGGTAATATGCGATAGTGTTGGCCCGCGCGTTTAGCGGTTAGCGATCTTGATAAAAGATAGCGGTTGTACCGAAGATAAGCCAGTAGTCATCCTGACCGTTGCCTGGTCTGACCGGCCTGGTCGGCTGTACGATCCGATCGGTCGCCGATTCCTTGATCGAGTTCGTCGGCCCTAAGCGCCTAAGCGCCTATAAGCGCTCGGATGAGAGAGAGAGAGAGAGAGAGAGAGAGAGAGAGAAAGGGAGAGAGGGAGAGAGAGAGAGAGACAACCCTCGAGGTGGATATATCGATGCGAATAACTTTCGTATATTATCTTCCATTTTTTCCAAGATTTTCTCTCTCCAATCCTCGAAAAAGCGATTATCCTCTGTCCAACGAGTGCCTGCAAGAATCAAATCGTGTGATAACGGATTTATATTCGAGGAGAAACATATTTCAATAGCAAATTCACCACTGGAAGAAACTCCAATGAGAGTCGTTGAGCGAATTTATGTTTTCTCAGAGCGCTAAAAAAGTTTACTCAAACTCTGATGAAGGAATACGGCAAAAAAAGGCATGCCACTGTCCTTTCTAGATAGAAGACTCGTTTGCAATGTCACGACGACGACGGCGACGACGACGATGACGACGACGGCGACGGCGACGATGGCGACGACGACGACGGCGACGACGACGATGACAACGATGATGATGACTACGACGATGACGACGAAAGCTAGTCTTAATGAATAAGAATCGCCGCATCAAGCGAAAATTGAATCGAATGTTATGACACGGGAATATATATTAGGAACAAAATATCGAACGTGTGATAGCATCTAGATGAGTTGGCGTTCGTTTTTCAAAGTTGACTTTCCTTTTAATTTCATTTCTTTCTCTCATCTACAAACTACACGATAGTATAAATAATTTCGAGGATGCGAACGATACGTAATGACGAGCGGCGTGACTACTAAATTCGATCCGGATTGGGTAAGGATGGTGGAGTTGCGTGCGGCTGGTGCCAGGATGACTGGAAGTCTAGACACCAGATCGTCAAATCGTCTGCACTATGCCATCTTGACGATTTTGGATACGATCTTCTCCGCGCTCGTGGCCGCACCGGCGGTGGTTGGTTACTGGCGCGGCACTTGGGAACTGAGTGATTTCTATGTCTACCCGGAGGAGCCGGTGTTGAGCAGCTTCGCGTCGATCACGATCGGCTTCACCGGCCTCTTTGCCTTCAGCGTCCTGCAACATGGCTTGAATGACATTCTGCATCCAGATAAGCATCGGCTATCCTACTATCTCGGCTCGCGAGTCTATACCGGCGTGTTTGGCTTTTGCTGCGTGAACGCTTGGCGCGGTGCCTGGAAGGCCCTGGACATTTATACGGAGCTGATGCCCGGCACAGTCTTTGCCACAACTATCGTTAGTCTCCTCGCGCTCGGCATCATGCGCGCAGTTCGTAATGTATCCGCGCCGCCGTTTTCCCTCGTTCTCGACTCGTGTCCGGGTTACTTTGAAGTGCAGACTATGTTTCGCGTCAACGTAAGTATCTGCCAATAATTTCTTTCTTCGAAGAGTGCTCTCTCGAATGCCGGGAGCATCCCTTGAATCCCGAATCATCACGAGGCGATGATTTTATCCTTACGATTGATTCAAGATTTTTCTCCAATCTCTTCTCCTTTTGAAATTTAAATTTCAAGATACCGTATCACACTCTCGCGCTTGTGTAAAATTACACTCGCAACCATGTAATCCAGTTGTAAATAAATGTTACGTTGAGAGAGAGAGAGAGAGAGAGAGAGAGAGAGAGAGAGAGAGAGAGAGAATGTCCAATCTGAAAAAAAAAAAATTGCAGTATAGATATTTCAACGATCGATTCATCTATCTAATCATAAATAGAGTTAAAGTTACAGAAATTGCATCTTATATATCGAATGGAAGTTAGTTGGGTTTATATAGTTTGCGATGGAGAACTTTTATGCAATCGATTAATTTTGATAAATCAGATTTATCGAAAATTTGTCTAGTATAATAGTAATAAGATAAGAGAATTTAGGATGGAAATATTGGATACTAACGATATATTAATGACAGAATATTGTCCATGTGCTATCTACCCCTTTCACGTACATTTCGGCGAGTCTTGGATCGAAGATACGTATTTTGGAGGAAAAATATATGTATGTATATGCTATTGAATACTTAACATTTTCTTGTTTCTTCTCTTCTCAGCGAATATGGGTAGTATTAAAGGTAATTTGATTGGTTTTCGAGATATGTATATAAAAGAGTTTTATACCATGTAAGAGTGTGTTACGTGAATGATATTTGTCAGTAGCATTCTCAAATACGTGAAATCAAAATTGATTTGAAAAACAAATAAATTTACAAACTATTTCAGCAATGATCAAATCACATTTCAAGAGTTGTTTGGTGATTTGTAATTATATTCGGTTTCATAGTCACGAATACAAGAGTTATGCGTATATTTTGTGGGATAATTAGAAAATAAGACAGATAATAGGAACTTGAGAAAAGTACTATTTACATGTATATACAGCTTAATTTGTCTCGAGTTTTTTTCATAGACAAAACTGTTTTAATTCGCAGAAAGAAAGCGGGATATGAAAGAAGATGGCGAAAAGGCGCCAATAGCACTGCCAATAGTCCGGATTCATGATTTAAGTCAGCGTTACTTGGACAATGAGCGCGCTAAGACAATTCTCTCTCGACTTTACATTTATCAGGATTCTTTCTTTCTTGTTTGTTATGTATATTCAACTGTGCACCGTGCGCTTACTATTATGTTGATATTTGTCGTAGATCATAAATTATAAATGATAACTTGTAAATCACGATTACATGAATTGCATGTTACCTCATTTACACGCGTCGTCCAAGCTCACGTGTTATCGGTGTGCATATAAGCGCAGTTTCCGGCCAAGTCCCCCGACTGTCAACCACTATTGCGCCTGTATAGTCTATACGTATACGTGCTAAGCATTAGCGCAACGTGTGCAAGTGCGCTAATTTATTTGTCGTTTGTAATCACATTGAAAACATGACTATGGTCTCATCTTTCCTTTATTACCGCTGCAAAATAATTGTCAATTGTAATCATAAATGTAAAAAATTGCAAGAAAAGAATGTTACGAGACACACGAGTTATACCTTCGGGAAACATCGGTACAATTGTCATTGTCATTGTCATTGCGTGATGCATACGAAAATCGTAGTTGTACAATTCGATTTATTTTCTCTCTACCCTCACAATACTTAGCGTATATATTATCGTTTTTGTGGTAGAAATGATTTCACGAAATACGACATGCACATTTAAGGTCGCTCTCTATCTCTCTTTCCTTCTGAAATTGATCTCCATATTGATCTCTACATATTTTCACATCTCTCTCTCTCTCTCTCTCTCTCTCTCTCTCTCTCTCTCTCAACATGTTAATAACACAATATTGCCATTTTTGAAGTGAGATGATAACACTTCTAATCGATGAAAATCGATTGAAAACTTATATTTTAATAATTACATTTAATAATTACATGCACTTTGCGCATCACTTCTTTTTTGTTCACAAATCTGCAGAAAATATCATTTATTGTGTATGTCGAAAGAAGAAAATAATTTGAGATAAGATAAAGATTATTTTTGTATTGACATTTTATGTACCATTATACCATTAATACATCATGATGGGGGGATATCACAGAATTGCAGTGCATAATTGCTATTTTATCATACAATGACTTTACTCTATTACTATTATTCTAATATTACAATACTACTTAACAATTTGTAATGTTAATATTGCAATCTATTGCGTGCGGTTGTAGAATACGAGGGACTGGTCGTTGTACTTACTGGATTGCGCCTTTAGTGTCGGTGTCGTGGGTACGTTGGTTGTCTTCGTCTGGAGAGGAGTTTGGATTTTGATCGACATTTACCTATTTCCAGAAAGCCCCGAGTATTCTGCCCTTGGCTCATTGGTAAATATATATATATAAATATAAATATATATATATGTGTGTGTATATAATAAGCCTTTTATATATCGACAATCAACGTCCTTTAATTCCTCACTGAAGATCATCTCTGAACCTATCATTTTGCAGTTGCACTATACGCATGTAACTATTGTATTATACGTATAATTACTATCGTATTATATTACTTGGCACACATGAAGAATAACGCTAGTGCCTTCACGCCAATCTGCGCGTGTGTGCTCATTTCTTCAAATAAAAAGAGAATATTAGGTACCGATTAAAATTTCAAATATTTTATTTGTTTTTATCTTTCTTTCAGAATCCTGTCAAATACATATACATTGCATGTACTTCTCGTATCGAGTCACTATATCGTGGTAGAATTAGACAAGGTGTTGCGCATGATATAGTGTCACTATATCATGCGCAACACCTCATATGGACCGATAAAAAATCTTTAAGGATCTTATAATATTTAAGACCGCCAGTACAGTCACCATGAACCAATCAGAGAACCGTTATTAGCTTGTCTTAAGACATTACTTAAGATGCGTGGTCTTAAAGTAACGGACGAATTAAGTGACGTACCCCAAATGATCGATTACTGCATAAAATGGTCGTATAAAAATTTACGAATTGACTGGACGGAATCAAAAATCCTCTTACACGATTAAAGTAAACGCAAAGGTAAGCAGTGGGAGCAGTAGACTTTATATTAAAAATGAAAGAAAGTATGTTTTTAAGTTTTTTTCGAATTTAATATAAGCAACAGGTCTACCGCACCACCTCCTAATTTTACGTCAACTTTAATTCTGTAAAAGGATTTCTGATTTCGTTCAATCAATTCGGAGATTTTTATATGACTTTGCAGTAATGTCGATCATTTATTAATGAATTGATCACTCCAACATCCTCGTAATAATTGAAAAAATATAATATCGAATCATTGAATATTAGCTGCATTTAGTTAACCTATCAGAAATCGTGCATTCTGCAAAATATATGATTTCTGATAGATTATTTTTGTGTTATTTCTATCGCTATCGCAATTTTTTCGTATTCTGCAAGGGGAGCATTGTTCCCGTAACCGAGAATGGAGTGAAATTAACGGATGCGGAGTTCTTCAGAAATACATACGTTATTAATTTATAAAATTATACATATATATATATATATATATATATATATATATGTATATACATATACATATATGTATATATCATTTATAAAATTATACAATCATCAGGCAGTTCTAAAATGCATCGCAAATTGAAAAATACTAAATAGGATAAATAATTACAAGTATGTTTTTTAATTTACGATAACGTATGCATTTTAGAATTGCCTTGATGGTTGATTGTACATAATTACATAAATGAATAAAAATGCATTCGGATTAAAAACAGGATTCACTTTAACGTTCGCGAATGCGTATTTCTAAAGAACTGAATCCGTTTCAATCCATTATTAATTCTCGTTTACCGACTTAATACTACCATTATCACTCTAATTTCTTATTTGTTCTTACATTTAGTTATCACTATTATTCTTTTCTTTTTTTTTCTTTATATTTATATCACTAATTGTAATTTCTAGCAGTAAGGATAACAATAATATATAGATAATCACTGCAATTAAATCTCACAACATCTATAACATAAATATTTCGACATAATGTCTATATAACAAATTTGATAACAAGCCGCATTGCATATTAAAAATATATCATTATATATCGATTACACAATTTAAGCATTTCGATTTCACTCCGTAAGAGGAAAATTTTGAACGCACTATCTGATATCATCAGTATCTGAAATAATCCGCAGGCACTTAAGGCTAATATTACATCATCATCCGTTTTTGTCATATGATAAAATATTTATTTCAAACTTATTGATTGGCTGCGAGAAAGAGAAATTGTCGAATCTCTCTCTATACTATAGTTAATCAATAAACTTAAAATCTTTGTCGTACGACAAATGTAATACCTTGTCTTTTCTAAAAAGTCTTTTACCATCATATCACTAGACATAGATTAATCGCGGATTAAATTGGCAAAACACACACAAACATACACATTACGTGATAAAAATTAAAAGTTAAATAAAATAAAAAATGACGTTGCAAGTCTCGAATAATAAACGAGTGAACATGAAGAAAAGTGTAAAGAACCTTATTCCTTTAACTTTTAATTTAAGTCCGTTTAAAATTGCAAATGGCATCAGGCATACGACGTACATGCGCTATGGCACTACACACCCGGTATTCGATTATATAATTGAATATTCGCCAATTGCATGATTGCCGCGGCACATGGCACAATTGTCGGTGTACGCGATATGAAATGTACGTTTTACGTTATCCGTGATTCGTTACATTTGTCGCATCGCGATCGCGCGCTTAAATTAAGTACATACGATTTGAAAAGGAGATTTGTCGAATATCAATTTTCAAGACTTATTATCATATCGATATGTAATCTTTGTCGAGACATAAACATCATCATTCGATAGTCTAATGATACGAGTTCCCGTATCATTAGACTAGGTCGATCTATATGTAATAAAAAATAACGTTGTAATCTCGTTACCGAATTCCAGGCTATCGGGTATTTTATAGTCGTCGTGACGTTTTGCCTACAACCGTTGATGCGGTATATCTGCGCGCGTCTTCAGGGTCTGGTTCGCTTGATGGTCGCGGACATTTTTCTTTTTCTGAGCTTTCTGGGGACTGTCAACGTCTGGCGCGGCATATGGAACGCGTTGGATCTCTGGCTGCTGCCAGACAATCCAGAATTGTCCTGTTGGATTACTCACGTTGGCTGCTTCGTTTTTCTCGTCCTTCTCAATTGTAGCAATACTATCCTAGTTCGTGGCGTTTACATCGATGCTGAGGAAGAGAAAGGACAATGCGTTGTGTTTCCATGCCATTATCTTCGTTTATTCTTTAAGGTTTGTTGATATCTTGTCACACACACACACACACACACACACACACACACACACACACAGAGAGAGAGAGAGAGAGAGAGAGAGCGAGAGAGAGAGAGAGAGAGAGAGAGCGAGAGAGAGAGAGAGAGAGAGAGAGCGAGAGAGAGAGAGAGAGAGAGAGAGCGAGAGAGAGAGAGAGAGAGAGAGACGCGCGCGCGCATATACTCGCAATTTAAAAGAGATATTTGTTATTTATAATTAATGAAATAAAATACGAAAAAAGTTAAATGAGATCTTTGATGTGATTTCATTTAAGTATATTAGTGTTTTGTCTAACGTTATTTTCATTTCCAGATCGAACGCGAGAAGAAGCAAGCGCGACAGCAGAAGTTGTTGGTAGATCATACCGATGTAAATGAAAAGGACAGTGAAAACGGAACTTTCTTACCGAACACGGTGTCGATTGTACCTGTGAATGCAGATTCTCTTGCATAAAAGCTATGTACGACAAATCAATTTTTGTCAAGAGTATCTAGGGCTGTGTTCCAAAATTTACTGCCGGTACTGAAAATCTATAGTGCACGTAACGTAATACATATATATATATATACATTTTCAGTATTGACAGTAAATTTTGAAATACAACCTAGGTGTGTGCGTCGTGCGTGTACGTGCGAGCGTGCGCGCGCGCATGTATGAGAGAGAGAGAGAGAGAGAGAGAGAGAGAGAGAGAGAGAGAGAGAGAGAGAGAAATAATGCAATATACTGTGTACGAAATTAAATGAAATGAAACGCACATTGGATCGAAAAATCGTTTTACAAAACGATCAACTTTTGGTCGATTTTTAAATTTATGACATCCTAAAAAAGTGCGATAATTGTAGTAATCCTGTTTAATCGAAACTACACTATTGAGATTTACAAGATCATGATAAATTCAGTTTGGACTCGGTTGCACTACAGATTTATTAATAATGTAATTACTCTATATGACTTATACAGGGATGAGTCTCATATTCATACTTGAATTTCTTTATTATAAACATTCAGTATAAAAAATCAATATGTTTCATTTACGATAACAAATTTAAAACAAATAAGTATCGTTAGATTTTTGTAGAGATTTTTTTCACGCGTATCGAGTACGTGTATCGAGATTCGTGTATTTCAGTGATGACGATGAAGGATCGAAAGATTGAGTCGCACCATTCTCAAGGGAGAGAGAGGGGGGCTGAATAGCATATATACTTAATATATGTATAGAAAATCAAGTACGTTACCCTCGTGTATTCGTATATATAGTTGGTATAACTCAGTGCGATTCATGTGATTAATCCATGGATCATTATAAAAAAAACATTTTCGATAATATACGAAGCAAAAAGAAAGTACGGTCGGGAAGAAGCGACGTATGGCTGTGAACGAATAATATGAAGTAAACAATATGTTTGCGATAGTCTATATGATGACCACCATAGAGATCACAGAACATTGTTGCAAGTTTTGCAATGTATAGAACTGCAGTAATGTACGATACATATAAGATAATTTATGTATGTGCCATATTGAAGCAAAGAAAGTTAAGAATTTACAAGTAGAAATTAATGCTGCCGTTGAGTGTTTTGTCTGCGAACTTTATGTAATTGATTATATATCTAGTTTAATGCGTACCTACACATCGTACATACGCGCGCGCGTACGTATCAAGAGAGAAATTAATATATTTATTTAAAAATACGCACGAATGTTTAACGTAAAGCTGAATTTACATTTATACATTTACACACACACACACGCGCGCGTGCGTTATATACAATATATACATATACGTGCATTATAATGTATGCTATGTAGAGATAAATAGAAACAGAGCGGAGAAGGGTGGAGGAAGAAAGAGGGACTTATAAATATAATATTAACAATAAATGCCCATATGCATTCACTACTCATTTTTTCGAATGTAATTGTATATAATATCTACTTGGTATTACAAAGTCTCTCTGTATTCGATTTACAATTATTAGTTATATTTATATTCTCCGCAAGTAAGAAATAAGTGTATTTAGTTAGTTCTTGGAAGGAGAATGAGTAAATATAAAAAGATAGAAATAAACAGGAAAATATATATATATATACGTACACTTTTTACAAGCTGGAATTTTAATTATAATTTCGATTTGATGATATAAAGTGTATGTTGTAATTTAACAAGTATATATTATATACAACGATAAAAAAAGAAAATTATTTCAGTCAATGACGATTTTTAACATCAGGTCTTTATAATTACTTCGTAATATGTAATAAATACGAGTAATTTTAAATTAAGACGAGCTGGCAATCCTGTTCCAAATTCGCTACTTGCTCCGCTACTAGTAAACTATATATAAGTATAATTCGTCGAAAAAGATCGACGATCTAGATGTAGCTCTTATCGGCAATAATTTCATCAAGTCATATCGTATTACTGAATTTTGCATCAAGCGAGACCTTGAATAACAACGTCGATAGATTGAACAAGATCGTTATAAGTAGAATGTGTAACTTCCCTCGTATCCTGTACACCCCGTACTTTTTACTCTTGTGCTCGGCAATTACTACGTCATAGCGTACTAATAACTAATTAGTCGTGTGTGGGATGTAATGACGGGACAATAGGCGACAGTCACGATGGGAAGTGCTTAGTTCGACGATAAATGCTTGCCCCCCTGGCCTATATTTAATGTTTCCACAATGAATCTACAACTCCCTCGCCTGAAGAGGAAAAAGAACAGATGCTATGCTGTATTCGCGTTCAGCTGTTTTATATTTATGTTTCAACTTACATTGTAGTAACAATTATTCCATTACTATCTATTATATGCAGGAAATGGAAGTAACTCGAATCGTTCCTTTTTTTTTCGGTAACTGTTACGGTAACGTAGTTGCACTTTTTTTTTTTTGGTAACGCCGGTAACGAATTACTTTTAAAAATCGATATAATTAATAACGATAGCTAATTAATTATTTTGTCTATTCAGTAACGAGTAACTGCGTAACTTGTTACTTTTAAATAGTACTTGTTACTTTCCATTCCCTGATGATATGTATATAACATGTATAATATAGAATATAGATGAAGCGAGTAACGCTATGATTATTCGATGATATACATATCTACATATATACAACGAGTGTACATACGCAACTTTCTTAAATTTATACTTGTAAAGTACTTATATAATTGTTTCCGCGAGATACACGACAAAGTCGCATATTGAATATAGAGCAATAGGTTCATTTTTTCCACTCGAGATTAATGTAAGAATAGATCAGTCTCTGCAACAAAAGGAACGATCGAGTTTGGATCAATGTCAGTGGTGGGGTGAAGAGAGAAATCTATTTGGAGACTTATTGCGGCGGCGCGCAATAAGAATTAGTTAGCTATTAGCAAGGTGAACCGTGAAGCTAAAAAGTGAAGCATTCACTTTAGAACGAGAACGAGTGTCTGATTGAGCAGAATCTGCTCAACGTACATACCTGTGACCTGGTGTGATCGCGGATTAATCCAGCTGCAGTGTATATCAGCTCTTTGTGCGCATTCTATCTACTTTCGACACTAGAATATCGACGCGAATTTTACCGTCTCATTCAATCTCGAACGGGATGCAGGCGGCGGATGATCCCTTCTACCGGGAACCTTTAGTATCCGTTGAGTTTGAAGTTTTTGGAAAAGTGCAGGGTGAATAAGTACTGTCGAATACTTTATCTTTCACTAGAATGCCCCCCCCCCCCCTCCGTCAGGATACAATACTATCATCATACAGTCTCGCTTACTACTTTATTGCCATGACAAATTGATATTCAAATTAGTTAGATTTGTAGTCTGCACTCAAGTGCATCATCTCATCGTTGTTTAATTAATATATCCCTTGTAGCAAATTATACTGCAAAACAACGAATACGCGATTTCGATCTTTCACGTATATAGATAGCTAGATGGATAGATAGATGTGAATATATTTAGTACGTTTACACTTTTTAAATGATCGCTTCTCGATCTCTCCACTTTTTTTTGCCTATAATACGTGCGCACGCGATGGTCCAATTTTATCACAATTTGTCAAATTCGATCAAATCGTGAAATGTAGCATTCAATTATTTCTTTTCTTTCCACTCGTGATACACGTATACACGAGTGATATATGTATACATAAGACAATCTTGATAATTTAATTATCTTATGATGAAAGATTCTTCAATAATTGTATTGCAGGTGTATATTTTCCAAAATACGTGAGGGATATATGCTTGCAATTGAAAATCTGTGGTTGGGTGAAAAATAGTAAAACTGGCACGATCCTTGGAAAGATGCAGGGACCTCGAGCGCTTGTCGATCAGATGTAAGTCTTGTGAAATGAAATCTGTCCACTTTATCGAGCTGAAATAGTGAAAAATATATTTAGTAGTTAGAGAAAAGAGCCATCAGTTTATTTATTACGTTACTTATATATACGACGACGACGACATTTGCGTTATATTGTTTGCGCGGTTCCTTAATCGTACGTGGCCTTGACTAACAATTGCCGTATAACAAGCGATATGTCGAAAACTGACTTTAATAATGATTTAATGAAATAATGACGCTGCTACGTGTATCATCTCTTTCCTTCGTCGACAATTGCCACATCTCACATCTATGCATCGGTATGGCCGTATCGACGTTGGAAAAATACAAAGTACACCATCTTACACAAGATAATAATAGTTTCAAGATTTCTAAAAAAATCCCGAGATAATGGAAGCTAGTTAATAGAGTCTCAAGTTTATTAAATAACAAATACCTGTGCGTATATGTGTTATGATTCTGCAAGAGAGCAGAATAGAATGCATTTCCTCTCTTGGAAGAAGAATGACCAAGCTTAAAAAAAAAAAAGAAATGAGAAAACGTTTGTCGAATTACACTAAGATGAAAAATTAACTCACGAAATGTGAGTCAGATCGAATCAGGAATTAAATGCTGATTCATTTCTTCGATCGTAATCACGTAACTACAGTTGCTTATGCGTTAAAATTATTATTCAAAAAATGTTTACACTCGGTGCTAGTCAAGTTGCAGCGTATATAATATGATATTAATAAAGAATTTACTACATAGACAACAATGAGAGACAATTGTCACATTAAGGTAACAGTTATCTCACATATTCTTCCTCTTCTCTTTGTAATATATCAACCAAAAGTTAAAATTACTAAGAGTTCATTTTGACAGCTTTGCGTAAAAATATTTGCACTCGATCCGATTAGTCGCTAATTATAATTTCTGAGCGTGTTTCAAGCATTCGTATACAGAACGCGCACTTTGTCAGCGACGTTGTTCGGTAACGACAAATAACGATGTCAATGACGAATTTGGCAACGCACCAAACATTTGCATGGCCTTCTTAAACTTGAAATCAATCATAATTCAATTTTTCGTCTGCCAATCGTACATCTTTTTTTTTATTCCTGCACTAAGACTGCAGTATTCAAACGTTATTTTTTGATTGCGCCAAACATTAAATATAGATATATCTGTTTCATTTTAAGTTCCAAATGTATGCACTAGTTCAGCTACAGACCTTATATCTGCTGCTTGTATTTATACTCCATACAAAAGCACACGTCTGTTTCACACTTAAAAAAAATGATAATTTTGCTCTTTATCAGCAAAACAGCATTTACAATATATCTTTAGTATAACGTGTAAAATAATAAATCTTATTCCCAGGGCACAGTGGTTGACATCAGTGGGCAGTCCAGGTAGTGAGATACATCACTGCGAATTTACAAATTGGGAAACTGTTACAAAGCAGCAATATCAAGGTTTCATGATTCGTTTCTAAGAATATATTGCACAATTGAACGTTTAAATTCTAATATTAATGCACACTAATTTGATTTGCATGTGATATAAGATATGCTCAAAAATTCCGTAACATCTGGAACAGTTATGCGATAATTGTGCAAAATATTTTACTCGACACTTTACGATTCGATCGAAACACAATATTTTTTAAATGTATTTTTAACAAATTATATATACATCTCTTACAAAAATTTTCAAAACATGATTACTTATAAGGATACATAGCCGAGATAAATGTTACATTCGATAATTACAATGTTAATTAGAACATTTATAATTTAAATTCAATGACAATAAACTCAATGTGTATAGATTCTTAAAATCTTATACGCACGCGCGCGCGCGTGTGTGTGTGCGCGTACAATATAAACGTAAAGCGCTAGATATATATTATACGTGCATTACGAACGAGGTTAATTAACACTTTCTGTATCGCGCTATTTTTAAATGATTTGACCATTATGTCATGTGGATCACTAGTATTTTTGTTTGCATTTATATTATATTTCTTGATGAATATTGAATAACATATATTTCATAATGGATAAAAAAATGACAAAAATCTTATAAAGAAGACCCAATGCATCATATCATAATATTATATATATATATATATCACGTAAAATGATGTACAAAATTATTTTACATTTTTTTATAGTCTCTCCTCAAGTGGCTTGAATGAAAAATCCAGCGCGGGTCACGCGGCACAGAATGTGTTAATGTTGCGTGATATAGTATAATAACATGCCAACGTAAAGTATATTATATGTACATAAAGATACGCAATTGCTCTCCTTGAAGCAGAGTGCAGCTTATAGAACTGTATCGAAATTGCGCTCATAATTCCATTTACAATTAAATTGTCTGTAATATACGCTGAAAAGTACGTAATACTTTGTGTTTACTTTTACGATTTTGCAACTTACTACTACCTTTTATATCATTACGTATAAACGTTTATTGTCTTTCCATTGATAGAAGACAATGATTTCAAGTCTTCGTTTCGTTTCGTTGTATCAATATATACAAGTTGGTACACAGTTGATAAGATTCTTCTATTTTCACGCATACAGTTTTCTACTGTCTAATATCACAGGATATAGTCGACAAAATCCAAAATTAATTGTCTTCATAAATAAATGTTGCATCTAACATTAACAACATAATGTGATAATCACAGTGAGTTTTAGGCAAATGCACTGATATTCGTCGAATTAATTCCACAGTGTCGATATTCGAACAATTTGTATAGACTATTTCAGGCACGTTCTGGGAAAAAAAAACTTGAACAGTTAGCAAAGTCGGAAATATTCGACAAATATAATAGATTTCCATCGCAGCACTTACCAGGCTTTCCAAGTATCTTGTAAGCGCTGGACTCAATCGTGACATTTCTTCCAAAAGATTAGGTGTTTTTGAGAGATACGCCATCATTCTTCTTCCAGCTATAGGCAATAAGTTTGCAGCCAGGCGTTCAATATCGGTTACCGTTACAGTTACCTAATAGCATATATATATGAATATTATGAATAGATGTAATCAGAGAATAGACGTTTTATGTAGTATATACGTAGCATAATTGTAAGTATCTGTATTTCGCGCGCGTGCATGTAAATGGTGCATAAAAAAGTGCGTACAAAAGTGCGAATAATAAATGAATTTGTTATTATATATTCACCTCTTCTGCCAAACGATCGAAGCCATTTACGTACAGCTGACAGGCTTGATGTATTCTCAATTCATCATTATTAATTTTCCAAATAGATGCTAACATTTGACATTTGCTCATCCACAAGACAGCCTGTGTCGAACTAACCGTCACACCGTCCGTAGTCTCGCGATGAATAAATTCCATCGATGCTGTAATTACTCTACATAAAAATTCTGTACGTATATTATCCCTCTTGTCATCTCGGTACCACGTGAGAATTGCTTTGTCCGTTACGTCTTGAAAGAGGTAAGGCTGTACCTGAGCGAGTAACGAACAAATGTATAATACAAATTAATTATCATATCTTGTTATAGACTTACCACAGATTCGAACAAATTATTTAATGGTTTCAGTATTTTCAAGTTGAGATATGCCATCATGTATAGAACATTAGCCACTTGCACGTGTAGCAAAATCAAGTCGTACCAAGCTGGAGTTTGGGAGACAGCTAGCGTGGCAAACGGCTGTGGCCCACCGAAGTGCCCGTCCCATAATTCTTCCGACTTTATTACTACTTTATCTCCTTGTTCAAGTATCTCAGCCTACGTAGCAACATAAGTTAATTACACGTTAAGGCTCCAAGGGAGTAATTATCACAGCCATATTGAATCGTGACGTTAGAAGCAAGAAATGATACGTAAACTTTTATTACGTGCCATTTATAAATAAAGACAATTAGAATAACTTGAACAAAATGATGAAATTGCTTGAAAACATTTGTAAAAATGAACGAAAATTATGCTTATCCTTTCCGACAGTCAGTAAGTAATCGTAAATTATCATTTTTCGTGCGGTGACTAGAAAATTCAGGAGCCTTAAAGTTAAAATTATTACAACTTACGACGCCGCTACGCGTAAGTTGTCCCTCCCCCTCCCCCCTCCCCACCGCACTGCACCGTACATTCGTTACGTAATAATTTATGAATTTTTCCGTACTCTACGTACATCAATAAATATATCCAAGAAAGTAACGCAGTGCTGTAAAAACGTTGTTACTTGAATGTCGGATAAACCAATGTCTTGCATACATAATCTCTCCTTTGGCAACTTTCCAAGTTTATTCATTAATTTTGCTACCATTTCCATTCTTTTCTTTATATGAAGCATCCATAACAGACAGCAGACACCTGTCGAATAAACGAGTAAAAATATACGCATACGCAGTAAAAATTTACATAGATATTGACATTTTGGAGCAGTTTGCTGAAAAAGAAAGAGAAAAAAAAGATACAAAAGTGTGTTTACCATGTCTCATATTCTTCATAGGTATTTGTCGTAAAACAGTTACGGCAGCTGCGAGCGAATCCAGTTGAGTAACATCTTTGTCCCACGACATGGCAAACTCCCAGCATAAATTGGCCAATAAAACGCTGCTCGTTAAACTGTATGGGAAATGACGTTTGAGCAGGGCCATACTGTCTGCAGCAGAAATACGACAGATTTAAATTACGACAAAAGTTAGGAAATATCATTTTTTTTTAAATATGCCTTTTTCTCTTGCCTAAAATGCACGCTTCCGTAGTTGTATTAATTTTTGCTTCATCCCCAATCTCTATCGATAAAGAAACAAGTTTCGATCGTTCCTGTTGAGATACTTGGACAGCAGTTGCTTCATTCGTATCGGTGAATCGTTGTAACGAATCTACAGACAATTGTAACTGATCGAACTCTACATCGGTCGTGTCGATTAATCGCGCTGGATCGATACCCGTTGTGCTGAGCCATTTCGCAACCAGTTCAGACACTGAACCTGATTCAACCGGGTGAGGATCAATACCTAATATACTGGAGTACTATTAATTATACTAGATTTATTTTAACGTACCTCTTCCTCCGGAGAGGATCGATGCTAAACAAGCGTCATTTTTCGTAAATGGTAGAGCAAAGAATCGTGTTGTCTCATCCGATACAACTCGTCGACTAGAGTTAGATTAAATTTGTTACTACGGTAGTCAAAAATTACAATACTTATTTATGCACTTGTCAATAATTAGCGATAATAACGCACCTAATAACAGCATTCAAAACGGCAATATCTTCAAGGTTCCCAATCAGTAATGCAAATTGACAAGTATCGTTACTGACATTTTCCCATTCACTAATTGAACTGTACGTCTCATCATCCGGTGTAACATCATTCGATTTATTCTGCATTTCGTCTGTTTTAGTTACATTATTCCCATTTTTAATATCTTCCTCTTCGTTTCCATTATTCCCCAACCGCTTCTCATTTTGCAATTTCTCTTTGTACTTCTCTAGAGTCATAGCAGTCGCTCTACAGGCTAACGCAGCAGTAAACGCATTGAAAGGTTTCGTAGATTCTGTCAGAATAGTGCGTACATTTTTCCACCATAAGGAAACTTGGTTATATTCAACACATATTTCTTCCACATCTGTCGATTGATTTCAGTCAATTAAATTCCATACGCGCTATAATATTTTTTAAGCATAAAACAATGAACACAAAATTTACCGGTTAAGGAACAAATGACACGCAGCAGCTGTGTAAAGTGTTTTAATTCAATTTCTGAAAATGTAGTTTCTTCCTTGCGCGACCAATATATCAATGCCAATCGCATGAAAATAAATGGTTGAATGTTACTGTCTTTAGCCGCTCGTTGCCATTTCTCTTTCATATCATCAGAATACAGCAGTCCCTGATATATTAAACGTGCTAAAAGATGCGTTAAAGATCACATTTTATAAAAATATACGATACAATCCTACAACCGATAACAGTTATATAGTATATTTACGACACTATTACAACTTACAAATTTCATGTATATTCTCCTCCTTAACATCTTTTCGTAATCCAATCATTCTCGATGCGCCCAGTTCGAAGCACGATAGAAAGTCAAAGAACGCTCTTTCATTCTTAAATTTGACTTTAGTTTCTGCCGAAATGTTATCATCTAAGAAGCTGTTTAGCATTTTAGCCAATTTGATAACACGGTTTACTTCTCGTTCCGAGGTTAATAATATCGAAGATAAACTTTTAGTACTTATCGCGTTATCAGTCGTAATATCATACTCAGGTTGTACATCGAGTTGAGACTCGACATGTTTATAAAATGTAATTATTTGTTGTAACTGTGTTGTCAATTGACGAAGCATCTTAGCGGAAGGTTCCAATTCTTCTTCTTCCTCCTCCTCTTCTTTTCCTTCTACTTCTGTAAAGTATTAACAAAACATAATTCGTATAATCTGTTTACGTATCCGAGCAGCACATTTTACAATGTGGACTCTGCATACAAGTACCTCGTTTTACTACAAAACAATTCGTCGCAGCGAACAAAGCATCTGGTAAAATATGTTTGCTATTCATTAAAACTTCTATCGTCTGTATTCGAACTTGATTCGTTTCTAAACCCAAACAAGTATTAGTAATTACGGAAATCAATTTCTCCTCATTGAAATCTTCCTCCCTCAGAAACGTTCTCAGTTTCCTAAGTAGATGTATGTCGCGTGCTCGTTTTCCGTTTTTACTATTGAGCGCAAAGTGAAATGGAACACAAATCTCCTTCAATCCTCCAAGTGGATCAATAAATACACAGGAGTATTGCGCTTTATTCTTGGATAAAATGGCACTGTCGTTTGCCCCCAGAAAACCATAATTAATGTACAGTAATCTGCAAAGTATATTAGCCGAGTGATTTTATACGACACGTACATGTAAGACAGAATGAAAAGGAAGAAATTGAAAGCAGAGGAGAGGAGATGCGATAGATACAACTTGCCGTCCATTTTTGCTGGCAGTAAAAGTAGTGATTTTTGGACCTTGCTGTATACTCCAAATATCTATCACGCCCTTCTTTGGTGCGTAAATAACTAAAAACAAAG